TGTTGGCAAGCCTAGTAAGCATAACTAAGCAAGCTAGTGATGAGTTGTTAAGGCTAGGAGTGTATGAGTTGGCAAGACTATTGATTACATGTCAAGCCTAGGAAACATGACAAGGACTACTAGAAGCATGAGTTGTAAGATTCTCTTATCCTTATTAGYRAGGTGTCAAACTCTCATAAGAGTACAATCTTTAGAGCAAGAAAGACAAATAGTTAATGCAATGAAATTATCTATAAATAGGGGTGTAAGGGGTCACTATCTATGCATACYAAAAACTAAGAATTCTCTCTATATTTATCTAATTAAGCAATCAAAGGAAAAGTAAGCAAATCAAGGTGAGTACTTATGTGATTTATGAGATACATGTATGCTATATCTATAAAAGTATTTTATGCATTACAAGTTATGTTGGCATGCTTTGTTTTACATGAAATTATTGATATATATATACATGTTCAAGATATGCATGATGACATGTTTTAATACAAGTATACATACAAGATATGAAAATCATTTACATGTTATCATATGTGTTACACAAGGCATGAAAACTTTTACATGTTATGTATAACCATAATATCCAACGTATGGGATATTACAAGAATGAACGTTTTGCAAACGAACCTTATAGGGCAGCCTTTCATGGACCCGGGGGTTAGCAAACCCCAAGACAAGTATGGTATACATGCATGTGACAAGTGAGATCTCAAAAGAATGTTTTATACATGATAAAAAATATAGTATTTTATGAATGTTTATGCATGTAAAGAATATTTTTATACATGATCAAGAGCTTTTATAAATTATCATTTACAAAATATCATGAAAATTTCTCATTCATGAAACTATAAATACTCACTAAGCTTATAGCTTATATATCTCATGTATGTATCTCAGGAAGGAAGTAAGAAGGACTTGCGTWAAGTATAATGGTTTTGGTTTTTAAAGCAAGATTTGTTGTAATACAAATTATGGTTACGTTTCCGCTAAAGTAGCTTCTTCTTTGATGTATATTCAAGATATGTATTAAAATAAAGAGAAATTCTCAAGTTCAGATTCAAGAAAGTCTAACATGTAAAGTAACGGTTCCCATATGATAAAGAGATTTGGGGCGTTACAATATCTATTCTCTGTTGTTAGGCTTTGTTGGTGTCAGATTTTGGCCCAAAGATCACAATAAAGATCGTGGAGAGCTTGCGGGATGATATATATGCTGGAAAGCTCAAATCAGGAAACGAAATAAAGGCATGTGTTCTGAATGTGAACTGCTTCTTATTTGTTGTCTTAGGGCCTGTTTGGTTGGTTTTCTATATAAAGTTGTCTGTGTGGATTAATCTATCTGTATAGATTGAGAAGGTTTTGTTTGGGAGGGTTTTTTCATAGATGGAAGGAGCGATTTTTTTAATTGAGAGGGGCAGGTTTGGAAAAAACTTGGCTTTTAAACTCTCCCTTAGAAGCTTACTGAATAAGACACTTTCTATATATTAAGCCACTATCAAACAGTTATGTATAGCTGATTGAATAAGCTGTGAGTTCCATTAAGCTCATTAAGCTGCTAACAAACAGGATCTTAACTTTTTGTTGATGGATTGCATCAACGGGAACGAGTTGAATCTTGAAAATCTTTTGGTAGATTTAAGGATTTAGTGTTTCCATATCTTTCACTCATTTCTTATTTGTATTCTCTTTAGGATGCTTTGAAGAACAGTGTGCTGGATCTCTTAACGAAAAAAGGTGCTAAAACGGAGCTTAGACTTGGATTCAGGTTTCTAACATACATGATATTGGAATCTTATATGTCTTTATTTTATACGTTCCGTTTGTATTTGTTAATGGTTATTATTTCTATGTTTGTTTTCATAGGAAACCAGCGGTGATCATGATCGTTGGTGTTAATGGAGGTGGAAAAACTACGTCTCTTGGTATGTTTGATGATAATGGATTTTATGTACTCTTCTTTGTTTGGTGGAAATTATGTTACTAAGGGCTGTTTGGTTGGTTTTTCATTAAGTCCCGCATGGATAAAGTTGTCTGTGTGGATTAATCTGTGTGTATAGATTGGGAAGGATTTTGTTTGGGAGGGCTTTTTCATAGATTAGAAGGATTGTATTCTTTAATTGGGATGTGCAAGTTTGGGAAAAACCTGGCTTTCTTCATAAAGCTCCTCCTAGAAGCTTACTGAATAAGTCACTTTCTATATCATCAAACCACTACCAAATGGTCATGTTTAGCTGACCGAATAAGCTGCGAGTCCATTAAGCTCATCAAGCACAAACAGGCTCTTAAGTATGTCACATAATGGGGTCAGAATTTAATTATTTTAGAGACGTTATTGTGGATCTATTATTTTCGTCTTTTAATGTAACGAGTAAATAAACTGACTAATCTTCATGGCTCGGGCTCTGAAACTCTTGATAAACAATGTTACTGTTTATATTTGCGTTAAAACATAGATTTTTAAAACATTTTACATATACTGGGTTCGTATGGTTTGGTTTTTATTTTTTTCCACCACATATGTATGCAAAGACGCGGAGAAGAAGCATAATTAAGAAAACGTATTTTGATTACCAAATTTGATTGTTTAACGCAGGTAAACTGGCTCATCGGTTGAAGGGTGAAGGTGCTTCGGTGAGTTGATAATTTATTAATACTTTAATGCATGCATACATTTATATTTCATAAATAGAATCTTGAAAGAGTATCTATTTGACCTAGAGATGCACAAAAAAGCCCAAGCCCAAGCCCGGCCTATATCCGGCTTGAGCTCGGCTTGAAGCTCGGTCCAGGCCAAGCCAGGCCTTGAAGCCCGATCAGGCCGAAATTTTTTGAGCAGGCCAGGGCCCGCCCAGTCCAAGGAAACCGCCTGAAAAAGCCCGACCGGGACATTTATCAACCCCAAAGCCCGGCAAGACTCGGCCCGGCAAGACTCGAGCCTTGTGGTTTGACCAGTGTACTATGAGAAGAAAAGTAGGCAGAAAATTGTTAGCATAGAACACCGTCATCCTAAATAGCGCCTCTACCTGTTTGGGGCAGAAGACAGGTCTGCGTAGTGCATACATCCTACCCCTTGACCTTACTTTGAGGTGAGATATACTGGGTTCATTTTGCTCAGTTTGGTTTAGAAAAAACCGTCATTCTAACTGTTGTTTTTGTAAATATGGATTTGCAAAGTCGTAGTTTGCTGTGCAGTCCCTTCATATGCCCTATTCTCGTCACCCTCATTTTTCCGTTGAAACTTCCTTAGGTATTAATGGCGGCTGGTGATACGTTTAGGGCAGCTGCGAGCGACCAACTGGAAATTTGGGCTGAAAGGACAGGTTGCGAGATTGTTTCAGCTGAAAAGGAGAAGGCCAAAGCATCATCAGGTAGACAACTTGACCGAAAGTGGAATTTGCACCAAAATGTAACAAACTCCGTCTTTGTTCTTGTTATATGTAATGGTGAATCAAAATCGTTAATTAATCTAATGAATTTTTTTATAATCGTCAATTAATGTAATGGGCTCTCTAAAATTCCTATTTCGGGACCAAATTAACTGCTTAACTTGTAAAGTCGTTGATTAATGTAGCGAAATAGGAATTTTAGAACCACTTGGGTTTGAGGCTCAAAGGGATGTAGTGGAAATCTCATCTTGTCTAGGTTCGAATTCAGGCGTTTGTGCCCGGGATTTTTGAAGTTTTTTGGTTGATTTCGATAGACTTTTTCGGTTTTTTCTCTTGATTTTGAGAGATTTTTCCGGGGGTTTTGGTTGACTTTGAGGGACTTTTTTTGGGTTTTTGGTTGATTTCGGGGAACATTTTTGGTTTTTTGGTTGATGTTCCTTATATATCTAATGTCCTGGTGCACCCACTGAATCGCACTCTTTAACGTTCAGCAGGTGCACCTTTCCTACCCCAAAAGAAATTCCAACTCACGAAAATCGGTTGAGCGGGTGCACGGAACCCGCTCGGACCTTCATAGGTCTGCCCTAAGGTTCACCTCCGATGACTGCATGCCATTCGTGGTGGCCAGGGGGTGCAGGTAAGCTGGACCAGATCCCCACGGTTACCCAAAAAAATAGGAATTTTAGAAAGTTCGTTACATTAATTGACGATTTTGATTCACTGTAACACATAATAGGAATACGGACATAGTTTGTTACATTTGGGTAGTCGGTTTTTGTAGCTGCTACTAACATGGGACCTTGAAGTTATTTCTGAGTAGTTCTATCACAGGCCGTTAAGAAAGGGAAAGAACAAGGTGTCGATATCGTGCTATGCGACACTTCTGGACGTAAGACATGATGTCGGTTTATATCGTTGCTAATATTTCACCCACGACCCGGTGCTTGGACTGACGACTTTTTTTCTTTTTTCTTTTTGTTATATATTTTATGGTCAACAGGTCTACACACAAATTATAGCTTGATGGAAGAACTGATTGCATGCAAAAAGGCAGTTGCTAAAGTTGTTCCGGGTGCCCCTAATGTACGATACTACCGTCTTATTTCCGATAGATGTACCTTTATTTTGTGGGTCCTATCTTTATATCATTTTTTCCCGTTCTTTATTTTGTGGGTCCCATCTTTGTTTTACGTATCTACTTCTTCTCATACGATATAAATACGGGGAAATGGTAAATGTTTTAAACGTTCTTTTTAAGTCTTTTGGATCATGTTGTGATTACGTTGCAATCTTACAGGAAATTTTACTTGTTTTGGATGGAACAACGGGGTTAAATATGCTTCCACAAGCTCGGGAATTCAATGAGGTAACGCTCCCAAACCCTTTTGGTTACGTGATGCACTTCATAGACTTATTTTATATTTATGAAAGTATTTTGTGCTACTAGCCAAAAAAGTTTCTCGATCCGCCACTGCATGGTTCTTCAGATAATTTCCATGTTCGTTGCATGTCGTTTATAACTGAACCACATCATCCATGCCAGGTTGTAGGAATAACTGGTTTCATTTTGACAAAACTCGATGGCTCTGCAAGAGGCGGCTGCGTGGTATGCGAATGCTTTCTTCCCGTTTTCATATTCATGTAATATTCATATTTATATTCACATGTGAATACTTGAAATTGAACTCTGTTTGCAGGTTAGCGTAGTCGATGAGCTTGGAATTCCTGTGAAGTTTGTAGGTGTTGGTGAAGGGGTGGAAGATCTCCAGCCGTTCGACGCAGAAGCTTTTGTCAATGCCATTTTCCCATGAGGCATCAATCAAAGGTTAGTTTTAAGAATGGAAAATTTGCAATTTATTACCAAAGGGTCGTTGGCCTTAGTAGTATCCGAGTTACCGGTAGAACTTAGCGTCCGAGGAGGTCAGGGGTCAAACCTCACCAAAACAATGGCTTTATATTGTTGTAGGTGCAACATCGTCGACTATAATCCATGAATGCAACATCGTCGACTATAATCCATGAATGAAGCGATATCAATGTCATAGTGCTCGAGAAAAAAGGATGAATATAAAAAGGAGTGTTCCATTTGGCACTGAAGCACAGGAAGATTACGCATGATAAGTTTGTGGTGGTCGTAATAGGGTTTGGAACGATGAGTCCTTGATGATCGAGTTTTTGTACAAGAAAGTGGTTTATGTAAAGATAATTTAGGAACTCGATTCGTAGGGACGAACGTACGTTTTGCCATTTACTCTGGGTATCCTTCGCTCATTATGATCTTTTGAAGTTCTTTTTGTTAATGATGGCATATTGACATCAACGTTTTTGTTCATTAGCGTTTATACGTCTGATTCAGCTGTGCACGTTCATGAGCTCATGCATCTATGTGTTCGAAATTCGAACACACACGTGCATCAGTTCATGATGAGCTCAAGCGTTGGCGTCAACGTGATTCAACATGCGTACTTGCAAACAAAGGCTTGAAATAATCGAAAAAGGGTCCAATAACTTAAAAAAGTGTCTTCTAAAAAGATGTGTTTACATGACACTTTTTAAAAATGTCATATAAAAGGGCTAACAGGACATTTTGCTTTTAAGTGTCATAAAAAGTTCACTAAAAGACATCCAAAACATTCTATAAACTTATTACAACATTTTTATATAGAACAAATAAATGTTTGGTCTTATAAACTTAAGTCCTATGAAGTAGTTCATTAAGACACTTGCGCCTTTTTATTTGCAACTAATGATCTTAATGAGACTCACAACTTATTCAGTCAACTACACATGATTGTTTGATAGTGCTTAATTATATAGATAGTGTCTTATTCAGTAAGTTTTTAGGACGTTTTTTGAAATAAAATGTCGTATTAGTTATTTTATATGACGCTATTTAAAAAAAATATAACAAACAATGTCCTATAAAAAGATGGGTTTACAGGACACTTCTCAAAAGTGTCACATAAAATAGCTAATATGACATTTTATATTAAATAATTTGTTAAAACGTCGTATAAACATACTGTAACATTTTTAGATATGACGCTTTATAATTTGGTCATACAAACTTAAGTCCTATAAAATATGCTATTAAGACGCTTAAACATTTTTAGCGTTATTTAAACGTCTCATAACCCAATTTTGTTGTAGCATTTTCTAGATAATATATTGTGCAATTTTAATTATAAGAATACCACATAAGGGCAAAGTAAGCATAAAAATTTGGATTATTGCAGGGACGGACCTATAGCAGTGCATACAGTGGTACGTGCCATCGTTTTATTCCTCCATCAAAGGGTAAAATTTTTTAGATTCGTGAAATGTGCAACCGTATTAATCCGTTGTTACCATCATATGTATTTTGAAACTACAATAAGCACAAGTTTTATTTGATAGAGTTGGTTTGCAAGACTTTTATTCCACCCCAGACCCAAGTTCGAATCCTTTTAGTGTCATTTTCTTAGTCAAACGGTCCCACCATTTGAAAAAAAAAATGTACATTTGTTTCTTCACTACAACAAAATTGGGTTTATGGGACACTCCCAACTTCTAAGTGTCCTAATAGACCTCTTTACAGGACTTGGTTTATAGGACCAAAAAAATAAATTGTCCTATCTAAAGGTGTTGTAATAAGTTTATATGACGTTTTTGACGTCGTAATAAGTTTTTAGGACACTTTTAATATAAAACGTCTCATTATCTACTTTATAGGACACTATTTGAAAAACTGTCCTATAAAAACAAATGGTCTATAAAAAATTGAGTTTATAGGACACTTTCTAAAAAATGTTCTATAAAGTTGCTAATGCGACACTTTGTATTAAAAATGTCCTAAAAAACTTATTAAAACACCCAAAAGCGTCATATAAACTTATTACAACACCTTTAGATATGACGCTTTATATTTTGGTCATATAAATTAAGTCCTATAAAATGGTCTATTGGGACGTTTAGAGATTGGGAGTGTTCCTATAAACCCAATTTTGTTGTAGTGCTTGTAGTCAAAAGTGCCACCGTTTGGAAAAATTTCTGGGTCCGTCACTGGATTATCAGATGTGAAACAGTAAAATACATAATTATTATTATGTCAAAAAGACAACATTATTGAGTACAAGTACATAAATGAGAGATTAATTCATCATGAAATACATAAAAATACAAATTTATTAAGAGACACAATTTAGGGTTTGTGATTGCAGTTCCATTTCATGCTTTTGCCTTCTTCAGTTTTGGAACCACTTCAGATGGCTTTTCTGGTTCAGACACCATATCAGTGGCTTCATCTTCTTTCTCATCATCCACTCTGGCTCTCTTCAGAAGCACCACTTTCTTCTCAGACAGAAACTTTTTGTACCAAAGTGCTGAATTCTTCGGGTATCTTTGAAGATCGTTGACGTAATCGACATAGATCAAACCAAATCGATCTTTGTAACCCGAAGACCATTCGAAGCTATCCATGAATGACCATACGTAATAGCCCATAACGTCTACGTTGTTACTGTAACAATATTATACACCAAGAATGTGTCGTCATCGTGTTGTAATTCAATGCTCGTTTAAATTCTACGTCACTACGACAAAATTGATCTTATAGGACGCTTAAAATGTAAAAGGGTCCGGAAAAATAGTTTATCGGGGTTAAGTTTAAAAACAGTCTTATCTAAAAGCGTTACAGTAGGTTTATAAGACGTTTTAACAAGTTTTATAGGAAAGTATTTGAAAAAGTGACCTATAAAAATATGAGTTTATAGGACATTTCTCAAAAGTGTCCTATAAAATAGTTAATAGGACGCACGTTTAGACAATCTACATGCTTTATAAAGCCAATTTTGTTGTAGTGGATGCTATGTGTTTAGTTGAACGGTATGATGACAAATGAAATGAAGTGGCATACCGAATAGCTGTTCGGATGGCTATAAGATGCTTTCTTATGTATTCCATTCGGTACGTATCATCACGGACTTCTTGGTATGTTTTTGCAGTATCGTTCATATCGGGAGATCCTGTCATTCAAAAGATATAACGATACCATCGTAAATTTTGAACCGTTGGGGATCCGACATGAAAAAAGCAAAATGGTATCGTTCTACGTACCATTTTCAGTGACTATAAGCGGTTTGGTTACGTTGTATATGTTCTTAACGATATACATAAGCTCTGTAAGTTCATCGGGACAAAGATAAACCCACGATAGATTTGGGTTCGTTGGATCCACATACGCCTACAAAGTGTAGATTACGTTAGACTTGGCTTTCCATTAAGTTCTGTATGTATAAAGCTGATCCATGTGGATTAGTTTGTCTTGTTTGGTAGGGTTTTTTCATAGATGAAAGAAACGTGTAATTTTAATTGTGAGGGGCAAGTTTTAATAAACTTAGCTTTCTACGTAAAGTTTCCCCCTAGAAGCTTATTGAATAAGCCACTTTTTATATCATTAAACCACTACCAAACAATTACATATAGCTGACGGAATAAGATGTGAATTCCATTAAGCTCATTAAGCTGCTAACAACAAATAGACACTTACTTGCTTTCCTATAGGATCTCCGTTGGAATCGGTTCCTGAAACACGAGAAAATAATTATCAAGTTACAAGTTATGAATATTGACATGTTTTTTCGATGACAAATGAAATATACGTAGAAAATGGAACTGAAAAACGTGATAAACAAACGTAGTCTAAGATTAGTATTACCTGATGCCACGAAGTGACAATCTCTAGTATATCCGGGAGGAATACTAGCAGACGGAGCTTGATATTGGACGAAAAATGCAGTGTAGTAGTTTATTCCAAGAAAATCGTATGAATCTATCAACTTGATACGTTGTTCTTCGGAGAATTCAGGTAGAGTACGACCTTTCGGGTAGTTAGCTGTCGGGGTAGTGGCAAATTTTTGCATATTTTCCGGCCATGCTCCTTTTGTCAATGGCTCAAGAAACCTGAAATATTCGTCGTAGTGACATGAAATTTTAATTTGTTACTTTTAGCAAAGAAATCGGTAAATTATAGGTTAATCGTACTATAAATCATATCTGCTTACCATCCATTCACAAAATCAGATGCGTATTCGACAGCTTTGACATCTTCTACATTACTCGGACCACGATAAGGCTTGCTAAAGTTAAGGTCAAGCGTAATTCCCACTTTACCCTTTTGAAAACTCTGAAATAACGTTCCACGAGGTTAAAATAGATATGATTAACTAAAACACAACGATGGGTTTATTGAACGTATGCATTCTGAAAGTGTACGTAAAATGTACCTTATAATCTTTCTCATACTTTCTGTAAGCAGCTGCATGACAGTTGAGTAGGTTGTATGCAACTGTATATGGTTCTGTTTCAAGGTCGCTGTCTTTACAATTTGCACCCCGTCCGGGTGCAAATGTACCCGTTACATACCCATTATATGTGAACATATGTGGCTCGTTTACAGTCAACCAATGCTTTACCCGATCTCCAAACTCCCAGAAACAAATATCAACGTAGTCGACGAAATCAGCCCTGAGATTTAAAACAGATAATAAGTAAAAAAGACAGATACGTAAATACACAAATTTATCTGGTAAACACTTACACGACTTTTGAACTTAAGAAACCCATGTACTCTTCTTCCAAAGCATTGGGCAGATCCCAATGGAAAAGAGTGACAAATGGCTCGATGCCATTGGCCAGTAACTCATCTATCAATCTGTTGTAGTAGTTGATGCCTTCTTGGTTTTTACCCATGCTTACTTTTCCACCTATTTAAATCAAAATCAGATCGAATTAAACCAATTCAAAACCAGTGTTTACACGTACAGATTATAAAGCGGTATTAAATTCTTAAATTATTCTATGGAGGGAATAATAAAAGCGAATTTCTTTACCTGGTAATATTCTTGGCCATGAAATCGAGAATCTGTAGGAGTTGACGCCCATTTTCTTCAACAACTGAACATCTTCCTGAAAACGGTTTTCCAAGAAGATACAGTATTAGAATCAAGCGTAGATTTCATTTCATAAAACCGACATCGTATATTTTACCTTCATTCTTGAGTAGCTGGCAACGGTGACACATGCATTTGCACCTCCACTAATCTTGTCTGCAATCACCATCAACAATCGGCATCCTTTTAGTTAACGATTGAAGGCAGTCAAAGCCGCAAAAGAGATGTATAGAGACGTACCAGGGTTTCTTAGGGCAAAACAATCCCAGATACTCAACCCTTTACCATCCACGTTCCAAGCGCCTTCAACCTATATACAGCTCGGGATATAACAACTTTAGAAAACATATAACAATTTATCGAGTCTTGTAACAATAAGACTTAGAAATGAACGATCAAACAATTTCCAAGATGACCGAAACGAAGCATTCTTATATGTATACATACCTGATGAGCAGATGTTCCGACTCCGAACAAGAAGTTATCTGGAAAATTCTGACGTTTGACGTCATCATCCACCACGATGGTACCAAGGTCGAGCTCGGTCTTTGTTTCTTCACCCATATTAGGAACGATTAAACGTGTAAAACGGGTCGAGAGAAAACCTTGATGGTGAAGAGTGGTGAGAACTTAAGAGCAAAATGGTCTCATATTTATAGCCACCCAATGCAAGTTGAAAGCTTGTGACAAGTTGAAAAATAAATAATAAATAAATAAAAAATAAATAAAATAATCGAAACAAAACATTAATTGTAAATATGGATCTCTAAAAAGGTCAAAAGTTGACCATTTTGACAAGAGATTTCACCATTTAAGAAGTTGTAGACTTTCATCTACCCCTTTGTGTTGTATTGACGATGGTTTTGGACAAACACAGTTTTACAATACGTGTACGAAATTAGGTCAATTACATTGACATTTCAATATAGTTATATATATATACATAGACTTGGGATCATTGAGACCAAGGGTTTTTCGTGAGACCCGTAAGACCAATTTATATTCATTGATCAACTTTATAAGCTAATGATCTAATGGTCTAAAGTTGTACGGTGACAATTTTGTAATTATTGAGAAGTCTCGTGACGTTTATAAATGTTCAGATCTGACGATTGTAGATCTAATCCAAGGGTTGATAATTGGTCTTACGGGTCTCAAGAAAAAGGATTGGTCTCACATGATCCCAAGTCTATATATATATATAGGGTTGGGTTCATGTGAGACCAGCCTGTTTTCGTGAGACCCGTGAGACCACATTTTTACACGTAAACTTCACAGCAAAAACGCTGTGAAGGTTTAAAAAA